ACAGAAGCGGGCGTCACACTTCAGGTTACACCACATCAAATGCTCACAGTGTTCTGGCCTTGCTGCTGCTAAGCCGCAAGTATTTCATAGACAGGGAAATAAATCTAAAAAAAATGACCAGGTTCCATAAGTGCAGGCAGCCTCCAACAAAGTAATACTGGTTAGCAGAGTTCCATTCCGCAGTGGCCAGATGCTAACTCATGTCACCCTGCAAAGCCAATTGGTGAGATTTACCGCTTTCGTAGTTGCTCTGTGAGGTTATGGAAATATACGTGTAAAGCAATGAGCTGCAAAGCCCATGGAAGTCTGGGCCTGAGGCGAGAGAAGCGCCCGCATTCAGAACTCTTCTATCACTGCCTCGCCTCGTTGGTTCTCCAGTATGCCATGGCCCAGGTCCCGGTCTCCACAGTAAGTCCTGCAGCCTGGAAGGCATAGGCCCACAAACTTCCCCCAACTCCTAAGAAGAGCAGTGAGAACTAAGGCAAACGGAAGCTCTCGTTTTACACCAAGGGCCAAGTCTCAAAGACGTGCTGACACTATGGGGCCGTGCATCGTGTGGCAGGCCTGGAACCTGCTCAGCTGGCAGGAAGTCCTACAGCCTAGCCTCATGCCCCTCTACTCAGGAGAGTGAAAGTAAAACCCCACAGAGCCAGGCATCTCAACTGCTGCAGTCTCTTTCTGCTTCCGCAAGGGCTCAGAAGCGGTGGCTGGTTATAGTACTAACAACAGACATTTCAAAGTGAGGTTTGGCTAGACTTACTAATAAGAGTAGAGACGAGACATCAGCCATGAACAGTGACATTCAAGACATCACGGTGGTACACTAAGGGGACCAGCAGAGGTTTGCCCAATGTTTACTCACCTTTGTCCCCAAACATTCCACTGCCACACCCAGCTCCTGGTTAATAAACTGAATTTAGTTGCTGTCCCTTGAACTGTATAATCTGCTTCACAAAAAAACAAACCCAGTTTGTCTCCAAGCACTCCTAAGTCCCTAACTCCCTGGCTACAAGCAGTCTATGGAAAACAGCTGTGGCAAAGTAAATCATTTGACCCTGAGAAACAACAGAGTGAATGGGTTCTTTTTTTTTTTTTTTTTCCTTTTTTTCCCTCCTCTAAATATGTTTTGAAGTCCTGGTTGGAAAATTAGTGAAAATTGTAAATCTGTTTGCAAATCTGGTCTTGTCTAACTCTGAGATTAGGGCAAAGATTCCAATTTAAAAGTAAAACCATGACAACCCCATGAAGTGTGTCCTCAGGCACTGCCAACAGGCCTTTCCCTCACACCCACGGCAGTGGATTTATTACCGGCACCCGACACGTTCCCCGTCAGACACCCCTGGAGTATTCACTTGAGACAGTGGGGTTCAGGCTGCACTTCCTCTGCAGACCAATATATTATTATAAATTGAGCTAAACTGTTTCCTTTCTGTAAGTGCTGTGAAGTTCAGACTTCAGTTCTCAGAAGAGGGCCCAGAGCCGGCCACGGGGCTCGTTATTATTTGGATTTTTAAAAGCTACCATGAAAAGACAAAACTATACAACAGTTGCTTTTTATTATTTTTTCAAATTATGAGTTTTATAACAGGAGATGGAAGAAACTTTGCTTTAAAAATCAAATATATCTTCATAAAAATAAATTCTAAATGCAGACTTTGGGAGTCACTTGTTATGCCTAAAACAGTATAGTAGAAACCAACAATGCCACCTACATCTGAAGGCAGGAGGTAGAAAGTACTAGATTCTTATATAGTTTATCACCTGTAAGTCTACAATGTTAGAGACTTGGTGAATGTCTGAACATATGCTTTCCTTGTAATGACTACATCAAGCGGATAATATAATCAATTGAATGTTTTGGAAATGTAATTGATTAAATGTTTTCACTACTAATCCAGTTATTAAAATGAAAAGAAAAAGTACTTTAAAACTGAAACAAACAAACAAATGAAAACCAGAACTCTGTTATTCTTTCTTCCCTTCCAGAACCATGAGGCTTCATGGAGAGAAGTGGAATGAAAGCCCAAAGCCAGGGGAAGAGCAGGGTCAGAGTGAGGGAACACGGGGGCTTCCAGGGGAAGAGAAAGGCCTGATGAGGGAATGATGAAACCTGAGGAGACTATGCCAGGCTCTAACTTCTCACGCTTATTAGCTGTGTACCACCGTTAAGTCTATCGGGCTATCAGGATAGAGACTTCTTTTATAAGACTAGCTCATATTTGCTCCTCAGGGTTACAAGCTAAATAGCAGAATGCTTCACTTGCCATTAATTCATGATAAATATGATTGCTGTTAATATTACTACCATTCCAGGTATGCATGTATAGGGAGAGACTGAGCAGGAATATGGTAAACCACATGAAATTTGTTTCTGTATTCTTTCCTTTTCTATTTTACAGATTCTTTTCTCTAGGATGAACATATGCTACTTTTTCTTTGTTAATTATGTGTATACATGTGTGTGTCTGTGTATAGATATATGCATGTGAGTGCAGGTACCAACAGTGACCAGAAGAGGTCTCCAGACATCTAAGCAGCACAACACGGCACTAAGAATTGAGCTGTTCCCTGCAAAAGGAGTACACGTGCTTTATCACTGAGCTATCTCTCCCGCCTCCATATTCTTCTTTTAACCAGAAGAAATGTAGAGGATGTTATTAAATGCACAGATAACAGCAGAACTTTTACAGTGCAAACCTACTCGTTTCATACACAGATAAACAGGAAGCTATTTGAAAAGGTTCCATTCTGGCTCTTATCTCCTCTACATACGCCAATTGTTAATAGAAATTACCATTACCAACAAAGTATATCAAAAGAAGGCTTTTATTTAGATTCAAGCCAAATATCCAAATTTTAGGACAACATAAACACTTACGTTATAATCTTTTTATACAAATGGCACTCAATGATAGGGATAGAGACTTCAGAGTAAAAGTATGGATCCTGAAATCAAACAGGGGATGAGGGGAAGAGATGACCTTAATGCTGCCAACATCCAGAGTGTCAGCATCCTGAGATCCAGCTGACATGATCACAATGAGACTAGGAAAAGCATTACATCTGCGGCTGCTATGGCCTCTGTTTTGCCACATATGAATGGAGTGACGGACAAATCTGCAGCTCTGATATCTCCCTCAGAAGGCTGTTTAGAGTCTGAGATTGCTTAAGTGAACAGATTTGTATACTGTTGTAGCAAGATGTCAGTGGGAAGCAAGAAATGAACCTGAGCTGCAAAAGGTACAGCACGAAGTCACATGGCTCCTTCCAATCCACATGCAAACACCAAGGAAAACTCTCAGAGTGGCCAACTGCAGAACTAATACTCCCTGGATGTTAATGCTATTAGTGTCTCTGTCTGTCTGTCTGTCTATCTGCCCCACCCTTGCTTTCTCTAATGAGAATAATTTTTATCTCACCAAGGAGATCTCATTTTAGCATACATTATGCTAATTGAATAATAAAATCTAATGTCTGATATTAGGAATAATAATGAGATTCTTTTCCTTCTTATGGCTATGCACTTTTATTGGCATATTATTTACCGTGTGCTTAATTTGCACAGTATTCAAGCAAACTGTTAGTCTCTTGCTTAAACAAAGAACAAGACTCAAACTCTAAGATCTCCAACAAAGAAAACTAGTGTATACTTATATTTCTTTTAGTTTCTCTACATTTATATTTACAAAACACTTGTAGTTAAGTCAGATAATAAAAAATAATATCGTATAAATCTCCTTCAAAATTAAGTTTATTTCAGTGGTGGAAAAAAGTAACTTTTTGAGAGAAATAATATATGAAACACAGAGCTAGCAAGTGAGTAACTATGAAGTCCTAAGAGGCAGGGAGCAAGATTTACTGTGCTCCAGTGTCTGCTCTGAACCTTACTCCATAGTTGCAATACAGAAACTCCACAAGAGAGGTAACAGGAAAATAATCTTAACCAAAAACTGATCTCAAGCCCTGGATCTTCCTAGCTAAAGAGCCAAAAGACCGTTAGATCTCTGCAAGCAGACAGGACTAAGACAAACCTGGGGACACTCAGAGGGCACAGCCAAGGAGAGAATAAACTGTGAGAAACTGTTTATGTTTATGTGTACATGTGTGCATGCTCCTGTGGAGGTGCACCTGTGTGTGCCAGTACATTCAGCCTAGGTACTTCCTCTGGTGTGTTTTTTGAGACATAGTCTCTCATTGGCTTGAGCTGGCTGATCAGCAAGCCCCAGGGATGCTCCTGTCTCCTCTCTCTATAGGGATTTACTAGGGCACATCATCACATTGTGGGTTACTTCTGCGGATCAAGCCCAGGTCCTTGTGCTTGCATTAGCAAGCCATCTTCCTAGCCCATTAGAAGCTTCACAAGTAAACAAACAAAAGAAGCATACTCTTGCACATTTTGCAGTGGAAAACAAGTTGAGAATAAATAACACCAAAAATTCTAAAACAAAGCAGCAAGAATCAAACCCCACAGCTTCATTTACTGCAATCCCATAAAAAATACTTTGCAAATAGTTGAAACACACACAGAGAGAATGATCCTGTGGCCAAGCCTGACAGGAAACTAGCTTTTTGCTCTTGCAGAGGACTTGAGTTCAGTTCCCAGCACCTATATTACATGGTGGCTCACAACTGTCTACAATTCCAGTTTAAGAGGGTCCAACTTCTTCCCACTTCTATGGGCACCACATACGCATGTGGCACACAGCCGTCCATTCAGGCAAAGCCACGCACACATACAAAATAGATAGATAGATAGACAGATAGATAGATAGATAGATAGATAGATAGATAGATAGACGATAGATAGATAAATAAATAAGAAAGGAAGGAAGGAACAAAGGAAAAAGAAAGAAAGAGTTAATGAGTTACATGTTCTCAAAAAATCATTATGAATACAAAGTATTCAAAAATTTATTTCAGAAGTCAGACCCAAGCATGCATGCCTCCCCAACTCTAAGCTCAGGCAAGTAAAACAGCAGTCTGGAGTCTCTGAACATTACCCAGCATGAAATAGCAGTCTCCCTGGTGAAGAGGTATTGCCAAGCCTGGTGTTTCGATATCCCACGAGATCTTGAAACCAACATGCCAAGTGTCAGGGTCTCTGCCCTCGAAGCTGGACTCGTCCTCGCTTTCATCCTCAGAGCCTGTGGAGATGGGAAAAGCTCAGCAAAGGCATACTTCATCTACATTCCTGAGATTTCAGCTATTACCTTAGGAATTACTGACCTCTTAATAAAATACAGATGTTAGGTCAAGTGCATCCTTTTGTGTCATAATTTCTAAGAAGACATTTAAGAATATTCTTAGCATGGATTTATCTTTTCCACAAAAAAAAACCACTTAATTATAATAATGAGGAAATAACCAGAGACTAAGAGGAGAATAAAGGATTAATTTGTTCAGTTTGAAGCAAATAAATTAGAAAAGGTCAATTGTGGGCATTTCAAGAAGATACTAATCACCACAGCCTAGCTGTCCTGGAACTCACTCTGTAGACCTGGCTGGCCTTGAACGCAGAGATCTGCCTGCCTCTGCCTCCCAAGGGCTGGGATGAAAAGTGTGAGCCACCAGGCTTATGTCTTCACTTTAAAAGATCCAGTGTTGTAAGAGTGTGGCAACCTGGCTCCCCCATATTCTCTGTGGAGGACAATCTAGCAATACATATTAAAACTGAATGCATGAAGCATGAATGCATACTATTGTTCCTACTTACAGAGGGGGACAGTGACTACTGAGCAGGCATTGTAGCTTGTAGGAGTGTTTGCTACAGTACAAACTTTAAAGCAAAAAGACCAAGAATAACCTCAGTATCTACTAGCAGGCTACTTCCTGAAGAAATTATAAAATGCTCAGACAATATAATATTATGTGTCCATCACTATGACTCAATAGGAACATGGAACCACCTCATACATTTTCAAGAGAAAATTAATTGTACAAATTTGTACAAAGATGCAGTGCCTGTATTATTTCTGGAAAAATAATCAAACTTTTATAGGTCCAGAGTGGAAGAGGCACACAAAGAAGCTTAAGGTGCACACTCCTCCTCACACTCACTAAGTCTTGCTGGGGATGGCCCTCCACATAAACTTTTCAAGTTCATTCAGAAAACACTGATCACTTGCTATATCCTTAGATCTGTGCAAGGCACTTGCAGTATCTCTGACTGAAATAATGAACCCAGCCTGGGGAGAGAATTCCATCTCCTGGAGTGTTAGTGATCAGCACTGGTAAATGGTAGGACAGCATTTCAGATTTAAATGTCACTACACTCTAAACCCCCGGACTGTACTCTGGTCCTCAAGGGCAAGGTCAGAGTTTTGTCTTCAGAGCACTGGAGACTGGTGGTAAGAGGCCATCGATGGGCACTTACACTGAACTGCTTTGATGTCCCACCACTCAGTCCTGTGGTAGGTGGAAGGGAAAGAAAATGTTAATTTAAAAGGAAAACAAACCCCTCAAACATCTGTTTGCTTGTTTGCTTTTAAAAGAGCAAAGAGAACTGGAGAGATGGTTCAGAGGTTAGCAGCACAGGTTTAGCTCCCAGAATCCACATAGTGGCTCATAATTGCCTATTATAACAGTCCCAGGGATCCATCTTTGGGCCTCCACGGGCTCCTGCACGCAACCACACAGGTAAACACTCATAAACAGAAGCAACATAAGTTTTAAAAATGAATTTTAAAGAACAAATAGAGTATAACATTACTGCTAAAGTAGAATAAACACTAAAAGGTTTAGAGTTGCTTTAACAAGGACTATAAAGTTCAAAACAGAATCCTGCAGTAAAATGGGACTTGAAAGTCGTAGTGTTCGGACTGGCAGGGACCCTGGAGGGATCACCGAAGACAAAATGATGTAAAGATGGGCGTCACGAAGGTGGACAGCAGAGCACACATTACTAGTCCCATCAGTGCACATCGCCTAACATCCCCAAGTGCCCAGATCCAGACAGCGCATGCCCATACAGACTCCCTACATTCTGAGCGTCATCCTGCACAGGCCATACATGAGTTTGAAGCAGAGGAAGGGAGAGAGAGAGAGAACTAAGTAGAGAGGGAGACAGGGAAAGGAACTTCCTTCATGACTACCCACTCACATTACTCTGTGTAAGTGTAACAAAAAAGAACGGGTCAAAAAGCCAAGTTTCTGTCTCTGCAGAGAAGAACGCTAGTAAATGACATTTACGGCCGCATCTAACTTCCTTGGGTTCTCTAAATCCGAATCTAAAGATACAACATCACTGTACGAGCAGACTCTCAGTCCTTTCCAGCTCTGTTCTTCTTCCTAAGCCGTGTTCCCTGCCCCACAGATAGGGTCTCACTATAGTAGCCCAGGCTTGCTTCAAAGTCCCAGCAACCCTCCTGCCTCTGTCTCCCTGCTGTGAATACAGGTACCACCATGCCCAGATGCAGCACATGTTTTTGTGGGAACCTTTCATTTAAGAGGAACTTTCAATTCATCTCTTTAAGAATACCACCATGCAATAACAAGTTTAGAGCCATTTCCTAGGTTAATTCAAAGCCATTTTTAAATATATCTTTGGAAACATCCAGAATGATGCTTTAAAAGAAAAAACAAAAAAAGCTTTACTATCACGGGGACAGCTAACTTTCTAATTGTGGCTCCTGAACCTTTTTAGAGGATTTGCATGAAATGGTCACCATGGGCAACAGAATGGCTGTGGACAGTACCAGCACAGGGCACTGCTACCATGTGGGATACATCCTGTGGATGCTTCTTTTTATGTATAATGCATAGCTAAACTTGAAACACTGGTGAACCTGAAAGAACTGAAAGGCACTCAGCTCCGCCTTCACTGCTCTGACTTAACAAATCTAAATCAGTTAGCAACAGGCAAACGTCCTCTGTTAGGGGCTGCAGAGATGGTCCAGCGGTCAAGAGCTGCTCTTCCAAAGGGGCGTGATTCCTAGCACCCACACGGCAGCTCACAACTGTCTGTAACTGCAGTTCTAGGGGAGTTAACATCTTCTCCTGATCCAGGGATACCAGGCAAGCACAAGCAGGCAAAACACCCCCATACATAAAATAAAATAAATATCCATAAAAACCCTTTGTATTAAAATCATAATTTCAACTATTCTTGAATTATAATAGCATGCATCCCTGAGTCAATTACATATGGTTACAGGTAAAACAGAGCCAGCCCTCTTACACAAGGCACAACTTCTCTGCTGTCCAGAGCCCCAGGCAGCCACTGCATTTCACTCATTTGTGAGACCTTTCTGGACCCTAGAGCAAAGTCTGTGATCCATGCTTTACAGCTAGGACACAGACTGAGCCTGACGGCAAATCAGTCTCATGACCTGTTTCCAACTACAGTTTAACCAGACCCTACTCATGCTCAGTCATTACAGAATCTCATAGTAAGATGGCCAGGGAACACTAAGACCACAAGACCCACCCAGCCCCAGAATAGTTAGGATTTGACCATTTACAGAAAATACTTGCTGATCTCATCTATGGACTGCTGATATTGGTGATTTGACAGAGATGTCAATAGTAAGTACTGATCAAGTTGAACATAACAAGATCATAATGACATCATATGATTCACACCTGGGAGCAGAATGTGACTAACAACATCCAACATAAAGTAAATAAAGCTAGATCAGTTGATCTGCAGCTCTTTGGGAGAAAACAACGATGTGAGAAAGCATGTGTTTACATCTTTGCTACCACAAGGTTGCAAGATGCTTTGCCCAGGTGACCTTGATGGTAACAGACATGGCAACCAGCCCCTAGCATGCATGTGTGTGGCTTTTAGGGGCTGTGTATGCTGCCAAGCGTGTACACATCCTGGGATGTGGCACTCTACTGGTAACCAGACAGATGCCCACCTTCCCTTGTGATTTTTGTCCTGGTACTCTTCTCAGTCTGGAACCAGTAAGACCCTGAACCACAACCAGACAGCAGGAGCAATTTGTGCTTTCTGATGTCCCTCCATAACATAACCAACCCAGCACCTTTGAAATGAGCTCATTAAGATGATGTTTGGTGGACAGTATCTCTCCCCCCCTCCTTAGGCTATGCAGGGAAGAGAGAAGCTTAAGTGTGATAATTTTTTTTATTGCTTATGTGTAGTGTTGCTCACTTTTCTAGGGAAACTGACTTGTAATTATCTACAGCAACTGCCACTAATTATTTTTGCCCCATGCCATTTGAAACAGGCTGGGGCAATGGGTTCCTACTGGCCTTTAAGTCTCAGTATAGTTGGAAGGATTTTAAGTGTGGAAGGATTCTAAGAGTATCTGTTTGGCACATGCAAGCTCCTGCAAACCACAAAGTTTAAAAGGTAAAAAGATTTAACAAAATTCAGACGAATAGAAATCTAAAGGTCAAGTTTCAAATATCCAAAATGTCCCCCCAAAATTTACTAGTTTGATTTGGTTTTGTTTTGGTTTTGCTTTTTACCCTAAGTAGTTTTGGATAAAAATGACTCCATTTAATGACAAGTTAAGCCAAACACGTTCTTTACATTTTAAAGCTATCTGCAACAATACAACAAAAAAGTCAGAGGCATCAGTGTGAGGGTAGAGATTAAAGTACTAATCAAAATACATCACAAATTTCCATAATTAACACACACATTAATACTATATGCCAATAATTTCCTTTAATGCAAGTCTACCGTCACCATTATCACTTTGCTTCTACCTGTGTAATTACTTTGACAACTGCCTTGAATGCAACCTAGACATTCCTTCTAGTTCAAGTCAAGACTGTTTTGGAAAGAGGAGAAGTCCTTGAAACCAAATCTAGGGTCTTGTATATTCTAGGCAAGTGTTCTACCATAGAGACATACTGTTAGCCCAATACCATAGGTCATAAGGCAGGAGAAACTATGAGTTGAAGATGGCAGATGGTGGAGGGAGACTAACAACACCTAGTCCTCACCTATGACTCTGCAGGGCAGAAGAGAAAACCACCCCCTCCCACCTACATCCCCCCCCACACCCAATGAGAAAAGTGGTATGGCTGGGTAAGCACACACTCAATTCTGAGCTGGAAGTGTCACATGAACAACATAGACTAAGAGTTAGAGTGATAAAGGTGGATAATGTCCAGGACACAGAGGGTTATGTGCAGCATTACAAGGAATCTTCCACAGAAGCAGTTACAA